TGCAGAAGTGCAAAGTCAGGTCTCTCTTGCACAGCCCTGGAGATTACATCCTCTTAAGTGCAGATAAATATGAGATCAAGGTGAGATTTTTTTTCCTCCATTGCTTTGTTTCAACAACAGCAACAAAGTGTCTGACAACTATAAGAAAAATTAAAGTATATAGAAGAGAGACCAGGGAGACTATAAGAAAGAAGCTGAGAATGTCTTACTCTAAGTCATCTAAACAATTTGGTTTTTTTTTGGGGGGGGGATTGAACTCAGGACTTTGTGCTTGCCACACAGACGCTCGTGGTGCTGAGCTATACCTCCGGCCCATCCAAGTCATCATGTACCCATTGGAAAAGGGGATGGTGCACTAGCTCTGTATGCTATGCAGTTTGTAACTCTGATTTCTCAGTGAAAAAGAAATCCACAAAAATTTTATTTTCTACTACTTTTACTTTTTTCTTAAGACATTTACCTACTTTCCTCAGTTCTTAGATCTAAACTGTGGAAACAGTCATTTGTTATAATTATATACAAAGAATTTACAAAATACTTACATTCTTATTGCCATCTGTGTGGTAGCCATTATCTTCATAACAGAAATAGAGATTCAGAGAAGTTAAATATTTTACATAAGATTCTATAGGTGAATCAGGTCTTAAGTCTGTGACTGTTGTCTGTAAAGCCTGAGTCTTGGGAATATTTCACTCTGTATCTTACATTAGCACATTCAAGCCAGATTGTTTAAGGGCAGTTTTTTCTATGGTGATGTGATCTCATGTCTTTCCTAATTTTCTTTTTCCTGTAGATTTGGCCAATTGGGAGAGAAATCAACTGCAAGTGCTTAAAGACATTGTCTGTCTCTGAGGATAGAAGTATCTGCCTGCAGCCAAGACTTCATTTTGATGGCAAATACATTGTCTGTAGTTCAGCACTTGGTCTCTACCAGTGGGACTTTGCCAGTTATGATATTCTCAGGTGATGTTTCCTTGGACCTCGTGTTTTATCTTTGAAAGTCTGCTGCAATTCAGTACTAAAGATAAGACTATTTGAATATGTCAGTAAATGCCTTACTTTTAGGAAATATTTACTGTAAGTTATAGTCAGAGTTATATATGTATTAAATATGACACAGGTAAAATGTTTCGAGGCAGTAAGTAAATGAAAAAAGAGTTATTGTCTTGATTGCTTTTCTCTTACTGCTGAGACAAAAATACCTGATGCCCAAAGTGAAGGAAGGAAAGGTTTATTTAGCTCATAGTTTGTGGAGGTTTCAGTCCATACTCAGCTGGCTTCAAGGCAGGGTGGCACATGGCAAAGGGAATCAGTTCATGGTGGTGGAAGATAGCAAAAGCAGCCAGAGCAAAAGGGAGGAGCAGCAGCAAGCAGCCTCTTTCCCTCCCTCACATATGCAGACTGTCCACCCCAGAACGGGTGTAGCACTCATACCCATGAATCAATCATAAACTCTTAAGAGCCTGCCCCACGCATGCATGAGGATTTGGGGGGCATGCAAACACCAGCCATAACAGTTACATACTGAAGCCTAAAGATCTAAGTTGTGATCTTTGTAAGAAGTTGTAAGAAGCCTAAAGCAGTTGTGAAGATTGAACATAGAGGTTTATGCATGTTAGGCAGGTGCTGTACTAGTGAGCTACATGCTCAGCCCTTTGCCTTTTTTATTTTTTATTTTGACGCAAGGTCTCCCTAAGTTGTCCAGGCTGGCCTTAAAGTTGGAATCCTCCTATGGCAGCCTCCGGAGTAGCTGGAACTACATTCTAATTCCTCTCCTACTCTTAGAACTCATGGAAGTCACGAACTACTTCCCCTTAAAATATTTAGTATGTTTTTCTGAAAAATGAGGGACTCAGATGAGACCTAATATTTTAAGTTTCGCTTCATAGTTCATTGCAATTCTGCATTATTATATGAGCCTGGCCAACCTTAGTAGGGTTGAGAAGTCATGTGGCCTTCTATTGACTAGTAGAAAGAGGTACCTAGAGAAAGTATTACTTGCAGGGTTTGTCTCCAAAGAAACAAATAAAAGGGTCTTGGACAAATTTTGTGATTCATTCCATACCATAGATCAGTTTAAATAATAGCAGTGTCTGTTAGCATATTTGAGGCTGATGAAGCGAGTCCTATGTGATAAATGAGAAAATTTATTTTATTGATTGGTTTAAGACCCAGTGCCATCTATAATAGGCTGCATGATTTTGTGTAAATTTCTCAACTCGCCTGTGCCTCAATTTTCCCATCTATAAATGAATGTTAAATGTGATGAGAACCTGGTACAACACTAGGCAGATCTTTACTATTAAGAACTCCGAGAAACCTTACAGTAAGAAATCTGTTAAGAGATTGTTTCACCTTCTATACTTTAGACCTATGTGCACATGCCTGTTAATTCACAGAGTTAATGTTACATAGCATGGTCCAGAAATGCTGACCAGGGAGTGCAGTGGAAACTGAACATTCTCTTCATTGTTTTTATGCACGACTATTTGACATCCATTGGTGTGGGATCAAGTAATACTAGCCGGCAAGACCTTGGCAGCACCCATCTTACTGGTCTCAAAATTTACAACCTCATTTCTTGCTGGGGTCTGACCAGTGTTGTGATCAATAAGATTTAAGAGTCATCAGAATCACTTCTAGAAATAACTGATGATTATGCTTGGAGAAAACAAGATTGAAACATCCTGAAAAACGTTAGCCTGAGGTCTTTATTTTGTAGATGGGGAAATTGAAGCTGAGACATGGTAGGGGCCTGGCCCAGCATTTTACATCTTGCCCTAGTCCAACATGCATCCATCCGTGGCTGGATCATCTAGGGGAGCATGGAGTTAATGTACGAGGAAGCCAGGGCACCATAAAGTGAGAAAGAAACTTTTGGGAGAACATGATATGTTGCAAAGAAAGAAATTTAAGCAGTTACTATGGGAAGTTCACATCTTCTGGTTGAGGGTTGGGGATGTAGCTCAGTGGCACAGTATCTGCCTGTCAAGCATGAGGTTGTGAGTTTGATTCCTAGTACCTCCACCCCCAGATCTTCTGGTTGAATATTGCTTTTACTTTGAATTACAGTTTTTGGAGGAGAGTACAAAAGTAAGGTGGAGTAGAGGTACATAGTTGTTTCAGTGCTTAGTCTCTAAAGATTTTTTTAATTGATCTTTTTTTCTAAAGGTTTTAATTTGATCCTACATTTATTTTTCTCATGTATACTTTGTACTCAGAATGCTAGTTAAGAGACTCTGGAGCCCACATGAAAGTTCTGTTGGTTTTTAGTGTTTGATATACCAGCTTTAAATAATGAATCACCAGGACTGATGTTGGGAAGTACTGGGTTCAGAGTTTTCTTTGAGTTTCCTGTTTTATCTGCCTTTTCTCCAAAGGCAAATAAACTGACCTCTTTTGAAATGCTAGTATAAATCCTGTGGCCTCATAGGCTAGACCTGGTAAAGCCACTTAAACTTTGGAGCTAATTCAAAAGAAGCAGAGTACAAATGACAGACTGTTACTCAATAAATCTGAGGTATGATGCAATCTCTTGAGCTTGGTTATCTCAGTGCAGCAGGCAAGGTTACTCAGGGTCGAAAGCCCAGTTTCCCAGCAGGGGAACCTGTTTACAGTTTTAAAGTGATCAAAGAGATGGCAAGCCTGTCGAGATCTGCATTTTGTTTCTGCACCATATTTGTGTTTCTATCTTTGGCGTCATCTTTACCATTCTTAATCCCTATCCCCAGTGCTACACAGTGTCCACCTGTACCCTGTTTTAGTTTGATGATTGAGGAATTACCAGACTTTCTAGTGGGTTTTCCCAGCTTATTTTGGATCTCTTTAGTAGGAATTTGTGTTTGCATTCATTGCACCACTGCCTTATTCATTAGCAGACGTTTATTGAATACCTGTCTCTGTGTCAGGCATTGTGATGCATACTGGGAGATAACAGAAATACTTAGCAAATTCATGGAAAGCACTAATCAGCAAAAGAGAACACTGATACGTAGTAGCTAATTATCAGGGTTGAAGATAGCTTGTGTGTAGCCCTAGATTCAGCTGCTGGTAGGACAGTAACAAGAAGGTAGGCAAACAAAAAAATGTGGTTACATACAAATTTTTTAATGCTTGTAGTAAAAGGGACATAATGCAGGGTTCTTTTTGAGAAAGGTATGTGCTTCAAGTTAAGATATATAGGTACTAAGTGCCAGGGGTAGGTGTACAGTGTGGTGTGTTGGAGAGTGAGAGATTGCTCCATTGAAGAATTCTTGTGTGGCTGGAGATGGGAAGCAGCCATCAGAGTATTTAAAAGTTTAAAAAAGATGGTAATAGGATGAGGTTTTAGGGTGAAGTTTACTAATTAAAAGAGTCAAAGAGTACATGGCAAGAGACCAATAGAAAACTGTTTGTAGTAGTGTAGGCCAAGATGTTGTCTTAGACCAGAGCTGTGGTACTGGAGAGCGTAATGAATATTCTCTAGAGAAAAACTTAGATGGTAAAATCAATAGCGCCTGGTGATTGAATCTGTGGTTTGAGTAAGAAGGAGAGGTAGATGGTTGCCGTGTTTGCCAGCTTGAGCAGTGGGAGAAGAGAATGAATGAGGAAATAGGCAGTGGTGGCAAACCTATGGCATCAGTGCTGCAGCAAGCTGTTTGTTGTTGAAAGCCCTAAAAGGTTTGCTGTCACTGAAATGGGGAAACAGGTTTGGCTAATAAATTCACTTTTGGACAGATTATATGTGAGGAACTTTGTTTTATTTATTGCTTAGTCTTGTTTCCAACAATGGCTGGCACACTTTACAAGGGTTTTCAGTAATGCTGAGTGAATGAACGTGAGTCATACTGATGGAAAATGGCGAGTGTAGTGGTGATTGAATCTCATCTAGAACACCTTTTCCCTTTTACTTGTGTTTAATTCCAGCTTTCCCTGGATCAGGCTTCATCCTGTAGACGTGTTCAGGAAAGACTGCACCATAGGGTAGAGTCGGGTGTCTTGAACATATCTTTGAACCATGCAAATGGTTACCTAAAGCAGCAGTTTCTTTACCATCAAGGAAGGTTGAGCTCATTCTCTGATTTGCTTTCTAAGCGAAAGATCAGAACTTACCTGTTTTCTTATTTTTGTAGATATTCTTAGTATTGCCCCATAGTATCCTTAGTATCATAGAATTTCTTCTGTCTTCTATAGAATTTCTTCTATCAATGATAAAAAAATACGATTTTTTTTTTTTTTAAATTACAATAAGCTGGACATTGTGATATATACCAGTAATCAGAGCACCCTGGGAAGCTAAGACAAAAGGATCACAAATTTGAGTGAAGCCTGGGCAGCTTAGTGAGACCTTGTCTCAAAAAAGGGTTGGAGGGGCTGGGGATTTAGCTCAG